GACGGAATGGTTTCAGTGGCCTCCTTAAAGTTGCCACTCGACCCAGAACTTGCTGAGAGTTCCAGCTTCAGAACTCTCTTCCTATTCGTCTTGTATTTGATTATAGGCATTGTGGATTAGGATTCTGGGAACTTAAAAGGAGAAGGGGGAGGTATGGTTATGGTGCAGAGTGGGGAGAAAAGAATGAGGGAGACGTGTGTCTTAAAGAAAAACAGAAAGTTGTTGTGACCCAGTAAAGAAAATATCTCCCACCATTTTCTTCCAATTAATGGAAATAAAATTTCTCTCCAAAACGAAAATTAATATTCCCACAAATCTCTAGCAATTATGATATTTTCCCAAAAATTGAAGGTTTTACTTACCTCTCTCCTTGGAAGCCGAAATTTGCCATAAATACCTTTTTACATGCCTGCCACACCCTGACGCTCTCACCTGCCTTGTCCTTTCCTGTCAGTGACGTCACGTGGTGAGCTCCAGCATCTCTCACCACGTTAAAAACCAAAATGAAAGCCGATTAAAATTTAAAATGGCAGATAAAACAATTAAACATCTAAATTTCTAAAGTCAAAACTGGGGAGCAATAAAACAATTAATCATTAAATCCTGCTCCCTTTATTCCGTTGTTGGTTTCTCAATCCGTGGCCAAGTGGTGAGCTCCAACATCTCTCACCACGCTCTCACCAAAGAAATGCTTTAGCATCTGCCTGTTCATGGTAAATTCTCTTCCTGAATCCATTTCTTGTACCTTCACTACTCCATATGGCAATACATGTGAAATTAAAAATGGACCTGACCATCTTGAATTGAAAAGCAACACTTGCTGTCCTTTTTCAAACTTTCTAGGATTGATTCTTGCATTGTGTCATCGCTTTGTCTTTTCCTTATATAACTTCGCATTTTCGTAAGTGTCTCTACGAAATTCTTCAAGCTCTAGTAATTTGAAGCGGCGAACATCTCCTGTTGAGCATAATCCAAATTTAACTTCTTCACAGCCCAAAAGGCCTTATGCTCCAGCTCCAATGAAAGATGGCAAGATTTTCTAAAAACTAATTTATATAGAGATGTGCCTAGAGGCGTCTTGAATGTTGTGCGATAAGCCCACAACGCGCGTCCAACTTCATCGCCCAATCTCTTCGATTTGTGCTAACCACTTTCTCCAATATGCTCTTGATCTCTTTATTAGATATCTCAGCTTGCCCATTTGACTGGGGGTGATAAGTTGTGGATGCTTTGTGACTGATGTTATACTTAGCAAGGAGAGATGCTATAGCTTTGTTAATGAAGTGGGAGCCTTCGTCACTGATCATAGCTCTGGGTGTACCAAATCTCATGAATATTTGCTTGTGGAGAAACTTTGCTACCACTTTGGCATCACTGTTGGTGCATGTCACTACCTCGACCCATTTTGATACATAATCGACCACCAATAAAATGAAGAGGTTTCCATTAGATGGATGAAATGGTCCCATGAAGTCCATGCCCATACATCAAAAAGCTCCACCTCTAAGATGTATGTGAGAGGCATCTCTGACCTTTTGGAAATATTTCCAACTCTTTGACATTCATTGCAATGTTGTACTAGCTCATATGCATCCTTAAAGATTGTGGGCCAAAAGTATCCGTTCTGGAAATCTTTTGTGGCTATGCGCTGCCCTCTAAAGTGGCCACCATATGGTGCCAAATGGCATTTAGCTAGCACCTGTCGTGCTTCAGCATTGGCGATGGATCTTCTGATCACTTTGTCTTGGCCAATCCTATAGAGATATGGGTCATCCCACAAATAAAACTTACTATCATACAAAAACCTTTTCAGCTATTGCTTGTTCATGTCTGCTGGCAGAATTCCACTAGCAATATAGTTGGCTAGATCTACAAACCATGGTTCCTCATCTTGATTCAAAACTCCAATAGCCAACACTTGCTCATCTAGGAAGGTCCCTCTAATTTCTATCTCATGCTTGGAACATTCCAGAGTAGGTAACCTGGACAAGTGGTAGCAACCAAATTATCCGTTCCTTTCTTGTCTTTGATCTCTATATCGAATTCTTGCAGTAGTAAAATCCAGAGGATGAGACTCGGTTTAGCATCCTGAAGCAGCATGGTCCGTGTAAACAATCACCTTTGACCCTACCAGATATGCTTTGAATTTTTCAAATGCGAACACCACTGCTAAAGCTCTTTCTCTGTTGTGGTGTAATTAATATGTGCCTCAATCAAAGTTTTGCTGGCGTAGTATATCGAATGCAGCAACTTCCCTCTGCGCTAAGCAGGAACTGTTCCCACAGCATAGTCGCTGGCATCGCACATTAGTTCAAAAGGCTGGTTCCAATATGGAGTTGTTATTATCGAGGCATGAGTGAGAGCATACTTCAGCGTCTTGAATGCCTACAAACATTCGGATGTGCAATTAAATTCTTTATCAATCTCAAGCAAAGAGCGGAGAGGTTTAGAGATTTTTGAAAAATCTTTAATAAATCTACGATAAAAACTACATGCCCCTGGAAACTGCGAATGCCCTTGACATTCACGGGTGGGGGAAATTTCTTGATTGCCTCGATCTTTGCTTTGTCCACTTCTATGCCCTTGCTGAAGACTTTGTGCCCTAGCACAATTCCTTATTGCACCATGAAATGACACTTCTCCCAATTCAGGACTAAGTTTATTTCTTCACATCTTTGCAACACGTTCTTTGGGTTGTCCAAACATTATGCAAATGACTTTCCAAACACCGAAAAGTCATTCATAAACACCTCTACCACTGATTCTACCAAGTCAGAAAAGATAGCCATCATGCACCTCTGGAATGTTGCCGGAGCATTACAAAGCCCGAAGGGCATTCTTTTGAAAGCAAATGTTCCATAGGGACATGTAAAAGTCATCTTCTGCTGATCTTAAGGAAAATTGTAATCTGATTACAATCACTGTAGCCATCTAAAAAAACAGTAATACTCTTGACCTGCCAGCCTGTCTAGCAGTTGGTCAATGAAGGGGAGAGGAAAGTGGTCCTTCTTTGTGGCCTTGTTCAGCTTGCAGTAATCCATACATATACGCCATCCAGATATTGTCCTCGTGGGTATCAACTTATTCTTTGCGTTCTCCACTACAGTCATGCCTCCTTTCTTTGGCACACATTGCACTGGACTTACCTACTCGCTATCTGAAATTGGATATATGATTCCTGCATCTAACCACTTGATAATTTCTTTCTTTACAACCTCCTTCTTAGCCGGATTAAGTCTACGATAGGGCTCAATAGAGTTCTTGCAGTTCTTCTCTAACACAATCTTATGCATACAAAAGTCGGGGCTTATCCCCTTGATATCACCAATAATCCATCCAATTGTTCTCTAATGTGCCTTGAGTACACTCAACAGCATCTGCTCCTTTTCCAAGGGTAAGTCTGCTGCTGTGATGATTGGCAATGTCTCTGATGAACCCAGGTAAGCATATTTCAGATGCTGCGACAATGCATTAAGCTCCAGGCAGCTCTTCAATAGATGACTTCAGTAATCTAAGCTTCGGGTTTGTGAGGTCTAAGGACTCATACATTCTCTTCACAAATCCTTCATTGGCATTCATGCATTCTGACTGGACATCTTCTAGTTACTCTTCAAATGCATCGGTAACACTTTCAGCGTCAACTGCTTCTAGATGCCCCAGCATAGCTTCTGTTTCCAACTCCTCCATTAATGTTTCATCCAATATCTTTAATATTGAGCATTCTTCTGATTCATCTGGAAATTTCATGGAGTCATTCACCGATAATTTCACTTCTTGATCCAACACATGCATTGTCAGCTCTCCTTTGTAGACATCTACCAAAGCTCTCCCAGTTGCGAGGAATGATCTTCCAAGAATAATAGGAACCTCCTTATCTGCATCATGATCCAAAATAATGAAGTCAGTAGGGAAAATAAATTTATCTACTTGTACCAAAACGTCTTCACTTTTTCCCTCTAGATGCATAATGGATCGATCCGTCAACTGCAATGTCACTGTTGTGGGCCTTGCTTCCCTAATGCCCAACTTGTTGTAGATTGATAATGGTATGAGATTCATACTGGCACCCAGATCACCTAAGGCAAGTCATATATGTTGTCCTCAAATTGAAATTGGTATTGTAAAACTCCCAGGATCTTTCATCTTCGCAGGAATTTTGCTTGTGAGTATGGTGCTGCAAGCTTTTGTCATTGCTACAGTCTCATATTCTCCTAGCGTTCTCTTCTTTGGGAGTATCTCTTTCAGGAATCTCACATAATTTGGCATTTGCTCTAGAGCTTCCACTAACGGTATGATCACGTGTAGTTGCTTCAAGGCATCTAAAAACTTCTTGAATTGAACATTCTGCTTTTTCTTCTGCAACCGTTTAGGATATGGTGGCGTTGACCTGTATTCTGCTAGGGCATTTTCATGCTCTGCCTGCTTTCTTTTCTCGGGCACTCTGTTCTGTGTAGACCCTATCTCAGGTGCTCTAGAAATTATTGGATCAACTGATTGATTGGATATGTTCTAAACCTCCTTTGGTTGTTAAGCTATCTGCTCTAATGGAGTAGGTACAACTACTTTTGTTAGCTCACTGTCCTGTTCTGACTGAGTTTCTCCTTGGTAAACTTGAGTGGGTTCCTTAATCGATGCTGAAGCATTTTGGTGTACCGGAGGTAATGCTTTCCCATTTCGCAGAGTGAGGGCCTTGTATTGTTCCTTACCGTCTCTCTTTGCACTTCTGTATCGTTGGACAATGCTCCCACCGGTCTGCTCTTCAAATCCGTAGCTAACTAGCCTACTTGCAATTCTAGGTTCCTTAATGATGCAGCTTGGCTTTACATAGTGGCGTCGTTATTGGCCATGTATTGCTTCATCAGCTTTTCCAATGATGCAAATGATCCTTCTGATTGCTTCTGTGCTAACATTTGTCCTTAATTTGCAAAACCAGGAGGATAACTTACCTTCTGCTGAAATGTTGGAGCATTAGATGTTCCAGCATTGTGTCCTCCTTGATTGCCACTCTAACTAAAATTGGGGTGATTCCTCCAGCCAGGATTGTACGTGTTTGAATACGAATTGTTTCTACTATTCTGCGGGTTCCCCAAATAGTATACTGACTCAGGATTTCCAGGGCAGTTGTTATAATCGTGGTCTCCCTCGCAGAAAGAACAAGATTTGATTAACATTAGCCTTACCAGCTGATGCTCCAACTGAACTTTGCTGCGTTGTACTCCTCATTACCAAGTCTATCAGATTCTCAATCTTTGAATTCAATGCAGTATATGATTCAGACTCAACTAGTCCTTTACTTGATTTTCCTTGAACAACTCTAGGATCAGGCAATGAGTTATTGTTTGATGGTGTTCTTTTAAAATATTGAATGCTTCAGCATAGTGTTTTGCTAGCAAAGACCCAATTGCGGACGCATCAATTACTAAGCGTATGGCATCATCCACACCTTTATAATATACCTCTATCTGGATGCATCTTGGGATCCCATGGTGCAGACATCTCTGCAACAATCGCTTGAAACGCTCCCAGGATTCACTGACTGATTCTCCAACAAATTGCTGAAAATTGTTGATTTCACTGCGTACTTAGCATTTTTGCTGGGTGGGAAGTATTTCATAAAAAATTTCTCAGCCAATTCATCCCAACTTGTAATAGACTCTGAAGGAAGGGACTCCAACCATGTTCTGGCTTCATCTCTAAGTCAATGCGGAAATAGCTTAAGCCTCAGCACTTCTTTGCTCAATCGTTCGTCCTTAAATGAATTACAAACTCCCATAAAGAATTTCAGATGCTGATGCAGGTCCTCCGTAGCATGTCCATGAAATTGACCCACTGTCTAGAGCATCTGAAACATCACTGGTTTCAGCTCAAATTTGGATGCTTCAATTTCTGGCTCCATGATAACTGGGTTAAAATTGTAACATGTCAGAGCTGCATATGCTTTGATTTACCTGAGTCGTCTGCTAAGAGTTCCGCGTTGAGAGGGTGCACTGCTACATCAGGGTTAATAGCGATAGGAACCCCATCTACTATTTCCTTTATCCTCACATTTGGTCGTACAGGCGCATTGGGCTGAACTGGCGGATTCATTCTATCCATGTTGGCTGCCGCTTGTTGTCGCCTCTGCTCTCATATAATTCTACGGAAGGTACGCTCTATTTCGTGGTCAATAATATATTCTAATCCTGCGTAGTCGTTCATGCACCTCGCAAAAATACACAGCAAAATACAAATGTGAAAAACCAGAAGAATCACTTCAGCACCGTATCTACAAATATCAATGTTAAAATAAAATCGCAAAAATCCTTGGCAACGGCACCAAAAACTTGTTGCGTTCACACAACTGTGTTGACAACACATGCAAGTATACATGATTCGTCGGTTGTAGTACGTAACAAGGTCATATCCACAGGGATTTTTGGTTGTATTTTAACGATAAAAGCAGATATCAACAATTAAAAAATATACAAAGATTGGGTATGGATATTGTCTAAAAAAAATAAAATAAAGTAATAACAAGACGATAGAAACTTGCAAGAGACGATAGTTTCGAAGCTGTCAACACAAGAAAGCAGTAGCACAGAAAGCGATAATGGGGGAATAACAGATATGGAAAAGACGGGAGAGATTTAGCATGCTTTCACAAGTTATCAACCTACCCTCTAGTGTAGCTAACATTATTAGTGCCCAGATCGACTTGGTTTCCTTCCGAGACACCTCAAACATGAGTAAGTACAACTCTCGTTGCTAAATACCCAAGCACTAAACCTGAGCTATAGGCATGATTAGGGGACCTCATTCCTGAGTATCCTTATAGCTATAGAAAAGTGTTAATCACAAGCAAAACAAATCAGTACCCATAAGCCCTTTCGGGTCAATATAGAAGCTAACATGCACGAAACAGCGGCCAACAGTAACGCAAATATTAAGAAATAAAATCAGATTTGCACCCTTGCTCTAGTAAACCTTTCGCAGGCACGAAATGCCGATCAAATCCGTTAAAGTTCGCCTAATCAAAAAATAAATATAGCAGCTAGAGGTTCGGTCTCAACTCAGTTACAGCATGTAAATCTCCCCCAAAATGGGGTTTAGCTCATAATGGGCAAAGAAAACAAAATGGAAGAAGAAGAAATACAACCCATAGCAGAAAAATAGCTAAATGACAGAGAAGAAGAAGTAGTCAGCTCGTTCCAGTAGGCGAGCTTCCCCTTTCTAGCGTCAGCTCTCCTCTTGAAAATGGGTATATACAGTTCCCTTGTCTTTTCAATTCTCAAATTTTGTCTCTCTCGGGAACTGCGTGTCTGTCGGTTAGGACAACATACCTTTTAAATATCGGGTCCCCTTTTTAGAGCATCCGGCTGAAGATTGTACGGACATAAGTGAATCCCATGTTTTTTAATTAACTATACGGACACTCATGCTCTGGCATTGCAATGCTCCAGCATTTATATGCTCTATCTTGAAAATGCCTTGACTTCTCTGCTCTGGTTCAGCACTTCCTTCTCTTTTTAGCTCTTCTTTAAAAACCTGTGCAAATGAACCATAAATACCAGAGTTTATGCTATTTTTGGCCAAAGTTCTCAAGACTAAGGATATTTAGTTAAGAATTTGCATTTGTACACTATTCATACTAATTATGACCTAAAACCGACATACTTTGTCATTTTAATGCACATTTTCACCAAAATAATCACCAAAATAACTCTCTTTTAGAGAGTTATCAACAGACGGTGCCAACTGTTGACAGCGAATTTTGGAGAGGTCTACGTGTCCTTCGGACGAGTACTTTCGCCTGAAAGTAAATAAGCCTGCAACCAGAGAACTTGACGCCGGTGCGGTGTTTCACCTAATAACTTCTAACGCTCAAGTCAGTTATCGAAGTAGAAAATAAGAAAAGACACATCAAGTGTTAGTGACAGATTTTTCACTTTCTTGGTGAAGGTGAAGGCTCTTCCTTATATAGGCTCGGACGGCCAACCAGGAAGAATGACGGTTATGGTGGCAGGGGCGTGCCGCACGGTACATCGTCTGACAAAGATGTACGCTCCCAACCACTAGCAGGTGGTGCCATGGCCTGTGGGTCTTGAGCTTGTAGCCTGTCGTAGGCAAGCTTCGGGTTCGGTGTACTACCTATACTAGAGGCACGGAGGCACACATCCCCTACCACGGAAGTGTACAGTGCGTAATCGTATGTGGTCCCGCACCTCTAAGGGATTGACATGCGTCCTGCTCAGTTTTGACCCTCAACATAATTATATATTCATGTCACGACCTTATTATATTATAAGCAAAATCAAAACATAAGAACAAGTTTTTTAAAAGAAAAATATCAAAGGCAGGAATATGATAAAGTTGAAGATCTTACATAGACATTTAAATTTTTAATGGTTAAATTTGCAGTTTAATCTTAACAATTAAAAAATAAATAAATAAACTTTTCGAGATTCTTTTTCAAAGTTTTCAAAATTTAGTTCTGATTTAAAACTAGTTTTAAAGATATCTTAAAACAAAAAAGAAAAAGAGAACAAACATCATTTATTGTTTGGCTAAATTATATATAATGTGTTGGTGTGTTGCTCTAAATTCATAGTTTGTATGTATGTAAAAACAAATTTATATTCAATAAAGTTTTATTCAATCAATTTGTTGTTGAATTCATATCAATAGTCCAAATCCAATAAACTAAACATCCAAGGTTATTATCATGTAACCGGGACAATATATATACTGGGTATATATTTGATATACCCTTGATATACAAGTGGATAATGTTCTGGAAATAACCTAAAGGATCTATAGTATATGGATAAGGCTGGGTACCTTATCTTGGCAACACTATGGATACGACCCACTTTATAAATGTTAGCGACGACCCAATCTAGATTGTTCATGTGGAGACATGCGAGTAGGGGTATCATATACAATGAGTTTGTATAAGACCGGACCGCAAAATAGTCAATCTTTAGATGTAGCGCTGTTGACTAACAGATTGCTATTTCATAGATTGACCAAGCAACTCATTCTCAATCTTGAGTGAGTTATGAACTCCTGTCCGTGATGGCTCATCCTTTGATTTGCATGGATGAGAGTAGTCCAAGTCGCCGACTCAACAATTCCTACCATTTTCAAAATTTTCAAAATTTAGTTCTGATTTAAAAATAGTTTTAAATATATCTTAAAACAAAAAAGAAAAAGAGAAGAAACCTAATTTATTGTTTGGCTAAATTATATAAATGTCCATAAATTATAGGATTAATTTCAATTATTCTTCTATGTAAAAGTTTATTTTTTATAACCATTTCATTTTTAGTTTAGTCTTAAAAATTATGCTTATTTCATCATTTTTTTCTACGATTTTTATTAAGAGTGTTCACGGGTTGGGTTGGATCCGGTTAAGAGAGCTTTTTGGACCAACCCAAAAATTCAGTTTGGTTAGTTTGTAGACCCGACTGAACCAAAGTGAATGGCCAATCCAACCCAACCCTACATTTTCCGGATTGGTTCGGGTTGGGTCATCGGTTTCCAACAAAGCTTATTTTCTTTGCTACGAATGAGGGCAAGATGGGCGAAAATGTTTGAAATCCCTAATTACTTGAATCAGCTTATTTCTTTGCTGTAAATGATGGTAAATTAGCTTATTTTATTTGCTGCGAAGGAGGGCAAGATCGGAGAAGAAACTGAAGACAGCTTTTTTCATCTTCTGTTGCCCCGCTTTTCCATCATCAACCTTCAGTCCACAATTTTCTTCGATTTGACGATCGATGATGGCTTTCGTTGGTACGTTGCGAAGCTCGACGAAAGAGGAAGTGAAGGTGCAGGGGAAGGAGATGAATGAGATTGAAGGAGGTGAGAGAAGCAAGAGACAGATGAGTGAGATTGAGGGAGATGAGAGAAAGGTGGAGGGAGATGGGAG